CCCCAAGCTCTCCTATGAGGAGTGGACGCCTTAATTTTTTTCATTTTTTCCTCTACCCTTGCAGCATGATAATTGACAGGGCAAAAACAGTCCTATGTGTGATTTGGAGTTGGAGCTGCACTGGAGCAGTCAGGTGTGGGCCATGTGGCTCAGGTTAACACATGTTTCTTTCTGCATTACAGAATTATGGATTGGAAGTGTACAATGATGAGCATAATATTTTTCAATGTAATTTTAAAAGGCACCTCAGATTTAAGGAAATGGAAAAACCCAGACCATGACTATATTGAAGCTCTTGTATCTATCACCATGCATAAACTGTTTGAAGTTAATTTTAGGATGATTGAGATGTTCATAGAATTTTCTTAGTATCTGATGGTAACAGTTTTGTTCAATTAGAATGTGCACAAGAGAAGTTCGTGCTTCAATATATAAGGCCAAGTTATTGTGTGACTTGGATTGAAGTAAACATGAAATGAAGTTGTTTTATGTTACTGTAACTTTATCGGGTTTTAAGAGTCAAGAATCCGTTGATTGCAGAATTTCTTAACAGAATGAATTACAGTACATGGTTACGTATTTTGTCTGTTAAGGCCTGTATGCCTTCTCCAGGGGGAGTCTTTGGGCACTGAATGTACAACTTTTCTTTTGTTTCTAAACAGCTGATTATGTGGATTAGATTTTTTATTTGTTCTACACTCTACTCACCTCTTCTACTTAGGCCCTGTTTGACACCCATTATTTGAAAAATTAAAGAGTTTTGAATAGGATTTTTGGAGAATGTGTGGTTAAAAAGTAAGGGAACCTTATTGGTTTGTGTGTAGAATATTTTATTGTGTGAATGTGTGGTGAAGAATGATGTGTAGCAAACAATTTAAATTTTTAAAGGTTGTCAAACAGGGGGCTTAATATCTTCTAATATATTTACTTTAGAACCTGGTGTAATCTGTCATTTATTAAACCTATGACTATTCGCTGTCTGAATGATTTATTGCATTTGCAGTGGACTACATAAAAGTTTCTGGGGCCTGTAATCACAATCTGTATTGCACTGGTCATCATCCGTGCAGCATTATGTTTCAGATGAGGAGAAAGTACAATGTCCTAGTGAAGAATTTTATGTTTTTGCAGTTGCAGCAACACCACCCAGGAAGATGGACACAGTACCACTGGTGGAACCACAGGTAGCTATAATGGATCCACCACTCCCATCCATGAATGCAACACGTTCATCAGAGGAGACCACTGGAGCTGGACAGCAGATGAATAAAAAGAAGACGTTAAAGGATGCTGTGAAGCCGAAGCACAAAAGGAAAAAGATGTCAGCAAATACTGATGCAAGTTAGAAAATTCTGCTATCAGCGATCTCTTTTAACGCCTGTAATTGTCCTCAGTTCATGCAAATTTTTTTGAATTAGATATTGCGGAGACATTTCGTGCTATTACCAAGTGGCACTGCGTGGTACTATTATCAAAATTTTTACTTAATTTTTCTTCTTTTATACTGTCTTGTACTATCTATTATTACATGGTAGACAAACAAACAAATTTTAACTTACCAAATGAAAAAGGGTTTTTATCAGAACTTGTCAGTGCAAGTTTCTTAGTAAGGCAGTTGCTCTTGACAAGATCTAGGAAATACTTATTTTTGCTTTCATTTGGAGAGTGCTGTAAGACAATTGAAATACTCTCACTTGAAATTAATCGCACTTATAAGATTTGCAAGTATTTAGATGTTTGTTCGATGTTTAGTGATATTCGATGAGTTCTGTGATGAACGTGCTTGGTGTGAATGGGAAGAGGAAGGTTGGAATATTGACATCATCCAAAGAATACAATAGTTTGGTCTTCTCCGAATTCGTGCTGATAGATTAAAGACTGCTGTTAAGTTCTTACAAGGTTTTCGATGTTAATGGTGCAGAAGCTGCGTCTCACTAATCCCGGCTTCAGAAATTAGGAACCTTCATAGGCAAGATTCTATTTGAATTGTCATTTGATGCAGCATCTGCTTATGGCTTTATAATATTCCATGTGAAATATTTGAATAGCATTTCTACTGGCTTCTTTAATTGGGCAGTGTTGGGCCATAGTTATTAGCAGGCTGTCATGTTCTATGGATCGGATTCTTGATATGGAGACCTTGGCTTTTAAGCACCAATGGAACTGGAAGCACCCCTTCTTTCAAAAAGAGGAGAACAGGTTATTCGCATTTAACTCAATGAGAATTCTAGACGAAAATTGAAATTCCAATTGTGACTTTTCCTACTTCTATTTTAATGGTAGGAATTATGATGGGACAGAGTGGGGTTTGCGCGCGCACAAAAAAAAAAAAAAAATGAGGAAGAAGAGAGAAAAAGAAAAAAAAAGAAAACCATTTCCTTACTCGTTTATTTATATTATTTATAAAACAGTAAAAATTAAGTGTTGGGTCGGCATCAGTTCTCCGTCCTTATCCCGGAACATTATACCACCTCTAATCCAATGGTACGAAATTCATGACATATTGAATCTCTAAAGGGAAGCTTTCGAATGGAAAAACTATGAGAGTTCTCATATTATTTGTTTTTCATGCGCAAGAAAAAATCTTGAGCATGTGACTAAATGAGTAAAGAATGAAGGTACAGAGGATAAATACATGGTATTAAATAAATTATTTTGTAAAAGACGTTCAATAATAAATGAACTTATTAATTGAAAGGAGATGGGGAATTTTTTTATGGTAAATGTAAAATTCTATTGCCCGGCATACACGGGTTAACAAAGTTTAAGTGACGATTACAAGTACTCCTGGCATAGTTGGACAAATAAAATAAAAGATGGACAAATGATAATAGCTAAGGACTCAAAATAAATTAAAACATGGGGATATAAAGAAAACATAACTTTGTATATGTATGTTTTAATCTGTCTTGCAATGCAATCAACTTGTAGTCTTAGATTCTAAAAAGTCCTCCTATTCCGCACCATCATGTGATAAACGGTTATAACGAGAGCAATTCTCTTGACTTTACCTTGCCACGTTGTTCTTCGAGTTTTTTTCATCCATTTAAGTGAGTTTGATAAAGTAGACATATTACATGTGATGGCCAGCCAACCGCGAACCTACCCCCAAACTGAGTTATTGAATGGACAAGAAAAAAAAAGTATTGTGCAGTTTCTTCCGTCTCTCCACAAAAGATGCAATTCTTATCGACTTCCAAGTGTTGTAGCTTGTCTTTAGTTAGTCATCTGGATTGAACTCTTAATCAAAGGATGAAAGCATGCTTCGGGAGATGGAGGCATTCCAAACAATGGGTGACCAAAATTGCCTTAGTATCCTTCGGCCTGAAAAATTCATAAGCTACCTTGATGCTGAATCTGTCTGTCATTTTCCTTTCGGTCAGACTATGTATTCCAGCCTGAACGCATCGTTCGGGTCCTATACTACCGTCTTTGATTTTTAGCAATTTTTAAGTAGGGGAGAGTAGTCTTTTCTCACCATCCATACCCAAGTTTTCGTCTCACGAAGGTACAACCGATTGACCCATTTAATCCAAAAGGTATCTTTTTTGCTATGGATGTTCCAAAGTGCTCTCGAGAGTAGCGCAAAATTCTAGCTTTTAATATCTCTAAATCCAAGCCCTCCTTCATGCTTTGGTAAGCAAATATTGTTCCAAGCCACCAATTGTTTTTTGGATCCCCATAGGAAGTTTCGACAAAAATTAATGACTTTGGAGGCAATCGTAGCCGGTATAGGAAACGGTATAGGAAATACGGATAACCAAAAGCATTCCACACCTTGAAGAATGTATCTCACAGGCTCTGCTCTCCCCGTCTATGACAATGAAGTTCTCGACATGCACCAATATAGGATGAAATCTTGTTAATGAAGGAGTCATAGGAGCTAACCTTTAATTTTCCTATTGCAAGTGGGATACCCAAGTAGCGAAATGACATGACACCCTTTGGGATGTTTGTTAATGCAAGAATATCCTCCAACTTTTCCCCATGAACTCCCATGGTGTACAAGCTAGACTTTGTCAACATTTATTTTAAGTCCTGACATATTACCAAAACTAGTTAAGCAATTCATCAAGACACCAACCAATATAACATCCCCTCTAGCAAATAATATCAAGTCATCTGCGAATGCCAATTGCGTGATCCTTAGAGGTGCACATTTAAGATGGAAGTTGAATTCACTATTCTCGATAGCTCTCTTCACCGTCCTAGATAAATATTCAAGAAACGACACAAATAGGAACAGAGAGAGAGGGTCACCTTGACGAAGACCTTTTTTTTTCCTTTGATGAAACCATGGATGCTTCCATTAAGTGCAATAGAGTATGTAGATGTTGTAACACATTCCATCACCCAACCAATGAATGTGGTTAGGAATCCCAACCCCGAATCACAAACACGGCTTGTGCTTGGTTAATATTGAATCCAAGTATAGGCCCCAAACATGAGGAAAGAATCTTGGTGATGACTTTATAAAATACATTATAACAAGCTATTGGTCTATAATCACCCACAAAGTAGAATGATTCATCTTGGGTACCAATGCAATAACCATGTGGTTAGTTTGCTTAAGGAGAGACCTTGATGCAAAAAATTCTTCAATCACCTCCATGAACTCATCACCAACAGTATCCCAAGATTTTTTGAAAAAGCATGAAGTATATCCATCCGGTCCCCGTCACTTTTCATCCCTAATACTAAAGAGAGCGTATTTGATTTCATGCCTTGTGATATCCCGAACAAGTCTCCTAGCATTTTCCTCAGATAATATGGGCCCAATACTCAAAATTTCAGCATTAAAAGGCTGGACAAAACTACTTTGTCCCAACAATTCACTATAAAAGTGAATGAATTATCCACTACTTCCTTTTGAGAAGAAGAGTATGTACCACCCCGTCACTTTTCATCCCTAATACTAAAGAGAGCGTATTTGATTTCATGCCTTGTGATATCCCGAACAAGTCTCCTAGCATTTTCCTCAGATAATATGGGCCCAATACTCAAAATTTCAGCATTAAAAGGCTGGACAAAACTACTTTGTCCCAACAATTCACTATAAAAGTGAATGAATTATCCACTACTTCCTTTTGAGAAGAAGAGTATGTACCATCCCTTTTAATACCAGCTGGAATATGGTTCCTTTTAGCATTTCTCTTGACCAACGAGTGGACGAACTTTGTGCATTTATCACCTTCTTTCAAGTATACACACTTTGCTTGTTGATAATAAAAGTTCCTTTTTGCTTCACCAAGTACCATAGCTTCTTTTCTCAACCGTGCTGCATCACTTTGTAATTGAGAATTAGTAGGGTCACCATGTAAATCCTTTTGCGCCAATTCCAATTTCTTTGAAGCATGTTCGCCCCATGAAGATATGTGTGCAAAATGTTTGCTATTGAGCTTATTTAGTACCCCTTTAAGACCTTGCAACTTCTTACAGAGCAAAAATTGTTTGGTATCACGAACAACTTGATTCCAAATATTAGATACCACATAATGGAAATCTTCATGATTGGTCCACATATTGAAAAATCTAAAAGAAATGTTTTTCTTCCCCGAAGAGTGATACAATGCAAGGTGAGTGGTTGGAAAGGCACCTCGATGGAGGAAAATTAGCAAAGCTATTAAAACCCCCTGCATCCAAAATTCATTCACCTTGGCCCTATCAAGTTTGCTCCAAATCGAGCCATTAGTCCAAGTGTAGAAGCATCCAATCGATCTCAAATCTACAAGTCCAACACTCAAGCAACAATTCTCAAGATCTTTCACTTCATAAGGAGTTACATTTGCCCCATAGCACTTTTCATTGAATTTAAGCACATTATTGAAATCACCCCAAACCATCCATGGCATGGAATAATTGGATCTACACTCCATGATGTTATTCCATAGTGGCCGGGATGGAAATTGGGCTCGTCGGCTCGGACCGCCCGTAGCTCGGCTCAAAAAAAGTTCGAGTCGACTAGGCTCAAAGCTCGGGGGAACTGAGTCGAGGCTCGAATCAAGCCTCATTTTTGAGTGCCTGGCAAAGCTCGAGCCGGCCCGTGTGGCTCACTGGCTCGGGCTCATGGGCCTATATTAGTATTAAAAAAAATAAAGTTTAGAAGCTGCTGCCTAAAATAGGTAATAGGTTGCTGCCTTCATTTAATAAAAAAAACAACAAAATCGAGCTCCTCGGGTCAAGCCTAACTTTTTTGATCGGCTCAGGCTCGGAAAAAAAGCTTGCTCGTTTTACCAGAGTCGAGCCTGAGCCTTAAGTTTGGGCTCGCGAGCTGACTCAACTCGACTCGTTGACATCCCTATATAGTGGCATGTGATTCACAATAATATGGAAGGTACAAACAAAACTAACAAGAAACGTTAATCAAGTTATTTGACAAGTAACGGTTTAATGGATGACTTGTGATGTAGTCTCTAATACTTCCAAGTCAACTTTCCCATAATTCCATAGACGAAAATCTAGTAAGCTCGATGAGTGTAAAAATTGTTGATGTACGATAAGCATCTAAATTTATTCTTCATAACCCAATCTAATTTCAAATCCATCAACTTTGTTTCTAAGATTCCCATAACATCAATATCATGTTGCTTCCTGAAGTTCTGATAACATCAACTTTGTTTTATCTTAGGGAACGGTTCAAACCCCTAATGTTCTGTGATTCGATCTTCATGATATTGAAGCAAGAGATATACTCTTCTTCTTGTCTTTTAAAACCACAATCTTCGTTTGCTTTTTCAGCTTTTCTTTGAGCTTATTGTTGCTTTTCCATCCAAGCCAAACTCAACTTCATCCTTATTTTTTCGCAATGCACATATTACATTAATCTTTCAAGATAGGACTAAACTTTGAAGTCAATGCATGTACATTAATGTTTCCTCATTAATAAATGTACGTGTATGTCTTTCTATTTGCTTACAGATTAAATATTGAATTTTACCACATTCAATATTTAAAAAAAAAAAAAATTCTACATGTATTATGGTAAAATATACTCATTTCATCCCATTTATATAGGCTGGTTTTGTTTTTCACACGGATTAAGAAATCTTATTTAATATTATTGAAAAAAGTATTTTTTGTCAAAAACTTTCCTTGTTTACCTTTATTTATATTTGTACAATTTCAAAACTAAGCGGAGAAAATTGGTTATAACTAAGTAAATTAAATAATGGAATATTAGTAAACAAATAAAACAAAACGTTCTCAATAAAAAAAAGGACTATATAAGTGGAACAATAAAATAAGGAAAGTCAGCCTATATAAATGGGATGATGAGAGTAATACAAGTTATAAAAATATAAATACTCAATAGATTAATAAATATTCATCTATCGATAAATATTTATTAATTTGCAATAAATGAATAATAAAATAATATTTTTTCTCAAGCCCAACATCATTATTTCATAGAAGTTCTACGACTCCGAATGCATTCTTTGTATGTGAAATTACCAAGAAATTAATACTAATTCCTTTTAATACTGTTGAGTTATTTTTAGGATAAATGTCTGTGATTTCTAGTAATTAGTAAGTGTGACAACTATGTTCTCAACTTTTTAACAATGTGTGTGTCTTTTTCTCCGCTTAACAATGAAACATGATGTTATTGATATGTAATGTGCTAAATGTATTAGAAATGACACAGTGTCATGAAAAGACAGGTCAATCTAAATCTTATATATATATATATAAGTCTATAAGATGTAAATACATACAGAGAAGCTTCAGAACCCAAGATTAAATCCCGGGTTTGGCTCCAGGCTGAGGTGTTGCCACCTTGGCCCTCGATCTAGCATCACATGGTGCTCGTCGAATTCAAATCAGAGGCCAAGGTCACGCCACCTCGACCCCTGGAACCAATCTCTGGATTTAATCCTGGGAGTTTCAGCATTTTTGAAATACATAACCGTTTGAAAAAGATGTGTCTAAAAACTTCCACTTTTTAGTTACTAGTAAATTCTAGAGTATTTCATCATTTTTCTACTTTATAGATCTAGCTATTTTCATGTCTTAAGCGGCTAGCGCAAGACCCTAATTTCCATTCACCCAAAGTTGGTTCTAAATAAAATAAATCACGACAATATAATTTCAGGATAGATTTGGCCTTCAAAATTCCGTAATTGACTAACGGGTCTCATTTAATAACCAATGAAAGTTGGTCGAAAAACTTTTTAAACCGATTTTTTCTTTTTATATCCGTCGACTACTACATATAGTCCATCTTACGCATAAACAGTAAAAGGAACAATAGATTAATCTTGCCTTGCTACGGTGATAGGCTAAATGACAAAGGGAACATGTGTCAATATATGATTGAATAGTATGAAAAAAAAAAAATTACAATCACTGTCTGCCACACTATCCTGTCATCCCATCCTTGTCATTGTCCCTGTCCAAGGAACATTATTCATTCTTAGGAGGACAGTAATATTCAGGCGAGTTAGGTATACATTGAATATCCATGAGCATAACATTAACTATTAAGCATAACAATAGGCTGAACTTATGCACAACTTCTTTATGAAGATTGCCCAACTTTCTATTTTCAAATGTGAACAGTAAAATCGAAAAAAAGAACAATAAGATCAAAAATAAAAATATAAGTGGTTCGATCACGTGTCTATGTCCATTGTACAATGTGAATCCCTTACAATACCGTACATCGACATACACAAAAATATGAGCCACCTAATCAACAATTGCTTTCTTTTCAAAAAGGGGTGTAACGATTTTGTCACTGCTCGAAGCAATTGTCTTCTCTAATAAATACGATGGTGGATAAAGAAAACTAGACAATGCACTATTTGTAACATCCTGCCTAAAATTAGGCCTATATGAATTATTCAAAACAGTGGTAACATGAACTGTGAAATATATGTGGAAATTGCTTAGCTATTTTACAAAGCCAAATGGTCCCAATGCAAGCAACCTGCATTACATATATCCAAGAATAACCTTAGCCAGCCCCCCGGGCACAATTAAACTGGTGGATTAATCAACATTTGTCTTACTTCCAGCGGCAGGGTGGAGGTTCGAATCCTGGTGGGAACTTGCGGCCAGATTTATTTGCTATGGAGCAATCATTTTGGAGGAGGATCTCTTGTGTGTAGAAGTGTACAGGCGGTGGGGGGAACTTGTGATCCAGTTGAGGCATAACCCACAATTTACCTCCTCCAAGATTCTAGGGGCAAGGGTCTTGGGGGTCCAGAATTTAGTCTAGTGTAAGTTGGGATACCTGGATATAAAAAAAAAAAAAAAATAAAAAATAACCTTAGCCCTATTAGAACAAAAACGTATGTGAATGAAACAATGCATAGTTTACTTTTTCTGAGAAATACATTAATTGCAGGCAAATATATAACTAGGTTTATTAAATGATGATAGACATACGGACATGCAACATAAAGAGGGCACATGAAATTTGAAGTTGACATTTTTACTTTTTATATATTAATTATGATCTTTCTATACTTTTAATAAAGTTTTTGCACGGTGTGTAATTGGATGTTGGGCTTTATGTCCCCTTCAAAGTTTGAAGTTTTTACTTTCATTTTATTATGAATAATATTCCACCTCGATAATATTTTAGAAAAGGGAAAGTTAGGTTTGGCTCCCTATTATTTCAATTAGTGTAGTTTTGGGTTCTTCAAATCTATAAAAGTGAGCATTTAGATTTTTTAATCTATTTAAGTAGAGAGCTGCTATACAAACAGGTGCCGTGACACGCCCTATTTGAGTAGCAAAATGTATTCAAATAAGTGAATCAGGTCTCCATGTCATGAAAAGCGTCAATATGCATGTGTTAAAATAGCTCAAGACTTTCTCCTGGCTTGATAGTGTAGCATAAAACTGTCTAGCCACCTAGCCCTTGTTTGAGCTACATTTTGAGAAAGAATGCATTTTAGAATAGTAAATTGATGAAAAATATATGGTTAAATATTAAGGAAAAAGTTTGAATTTACGTGTAATATTATTTTATTGAAAAATATACAGTTGAAAATAAGTCTTGAAAAATTGAATCTTTAGAAAAATGTGGCTCAAACAATGGCCTAATGTAAAAGTTCTTTGCGATTTTAACATCCTAATTAACAAATTCCATGGAGTAAAGATCAAGTTCCACATATTGAAGTAGGCTGAAAGATCTAGAATCTCACTTTTTTAAGATTAGGAACTTAAAGTCCTGCTAACTCAAGGTTGAAGAGATTCACCCAATTTTCCCTTTAGAAAATGAAATATTAATTTTTTTTCCTTTTATTTATTTTATCTTTTCATTTTTGTTTAAGAAAGTCACTACTCATGGAATCAAAGGATAATAGGGGTTAGAGGGATATGATTATGAATTATACAACTTAGTAAGGAGGCAAATATATAATTTATAGAGGTTTATTAAACAATGAAAATGATTTTTTCACTTATTAGTATTTTTCTTACTTATAATTGAATTATATGCCTATAAGTTATTTTTTACGTACAAGCGAAATACCTAGCTCTTATTTACTTGTAAGTAAAATTATGTATTGTAATTTAACTAATACAGCCTAAGCCCTTTGCACATAGTATGTTAATTTTATATGGTTGAGTAAAAGAGAATAATCACCCGTGGATGAATATAATCCAAATACTAATTGCATCAAACACTCGATAAAGATTAGACTGTATTATTTTAATCTTACTTGATCTAATACGGTATCCTTAAAGTCTTATCAACTAATTCATACGACTCTCTATAAATGAATAATAATATGAGATTCTTCATTTTTTTTTCTGCCATTTTTGTTTACGGTATAATTTGCTATGATTTCTCAAAGTAACAAATTTCCTTGCACATTCGTAGAAAAAGCGGATTCGAAATTGTCTTTCACTCCAAGGCATAACTTGTATCCATGCGCCTCATATTCGCCCGGAGTTCAGGTAAATGCTTTCTAAACATATGTATAAAAATAACATATTTCATTTAGCTCCTTCATGCTTACTATAACTAGTTATTTCGGTTTTTACTAGCTGCTTTGAGCTCCAGGCAGTTCATTCATCTGGCCGTAAACTAGAGCCACTTTTGATTCTGCAATATTTTCTTCATTAATCACTCCAAATTCTTTCATTTCCATGTAAAGATCATTGGGGAATATGAGTCGAAGCAATAACAAGAATATTTCTAATGGAACATCTTTCAGAAAGAACCCAACGGGCCTTTCCCCTCAAATTAGATAATCCCCTCGAATTAGATAAACAAAGAAGGGAATCCCGTTGAGTTCTTACGCTTCTATTTATCGTGTGTATCAATCTTTTTATTAGGTCTTTATTTTCCGATTTTTTGATAAGTATTTTGAATTTGGAATTGTCGTGATTTTCATTGATATTCATCATCAAATGATCTAAACTAGTTCAGAATTTGTCAAGAAGACTTCTAATGAAAATAATATTAATTTTACATAGGTCATTTAATAACTTTGAAAAAACAGCAAAAGACTGTATAAAAGTCTCTGTCATGGTTTAAATAGAAGATTTTGTAATTGTACGTTTTGATTTTCGCGACAACTTCATTGAATACTCGAAGAAGAAGGCAAAAAAATCCATGACCATAACCACAGAAGTTGAGTTGACGAGACTTTGTATCTCTCTCTCTCTCTCTCTCTCTCTCTCTCTCTCTCTCCCTTCACTCTAATAAAAAGAAAAATAAGAATTCGAACAAGAATCCTCGAGTTTCTTTTATCTATTTCCACTTGCAAAAGATGATCACTTGCTAACTATGAAAACACAAAAATCTTTGGTTAGATCATAGATGTTCACAGTTCACTTTACTACTCCAAAATGCTTGGACAAATGTTAAATGTTGGAGCGTCTCATCTAAAACATATAACACAAATACGTGCAATATCATCTTTCTAACCTCTACCCCCCATGTAACTCAAACTCACGTCTATTGCTTGGTTCGTTTTTACCATTTGAGCTAGGCCTTGATCATACGTACAACATCATTTAATCTATCAATCTTTCTTATAATTATATATGTAAAAAGCGATGCAATTGAAGTACAATAAAATTCCTTTAAATTAAACTACTCAAATTGATTTATACTCAAGCCGTGTTAAAAATAAATAAACCCATCTATCCTAATAATTAATAATTTCCTTTTGAAACCTAGCCCTTGTTCGTCCCTATTATTTTCAATATACATTTCTTTCACTTCTTTTTAACTACACATTTTTCAATAAAATAATATTACAAGCAATTTATAAATTTTTCTTTATTTTTTAACCACACATTCCCCATCATAATACTATTCAATATTATATTTTTGGCTAAAAATGAGGCTCAAACGGGCTTCTAGTGTAAAATTTTGATACCGACAGTTAAATAAATTACCAATTTCATACAAGTACATTACTTCAAGATGCTGGTTTGCACAATGTCACCACGTTTGAGATTTTTTACTCCATCAGTCATTTTTTAAATTCTCCTCAAGAAATTACTGTGACCATCTTTTATTGTAAATTTAGCATTTCAAGAACCTTAGTTGGTAGAGATTTCAGGTGCCTCATAACTATGGTTTAAAGGACACGAAAAATTAAACAGATGCGTTGTTTAAGATAAAATGGTAATTGAAACCACCAAATTAATAACACATAGATTAATAGTTAAGGGTGGATCCCAAAATTATTAGGGTTCTAATCAAATTACATAAAACAGAAAAGAAAATGTTGTGTGTACAGCACTCTCACAATAGTAAGACTTGCAATTATTTTAATCATGAACCCCACCTCTTGTATGTGAAAAGACTGTCAATTATGATGTCAAAATTGTTGTACTAGTAGCAAGATTCAAAAATAAATTCATGCAACTACCGCATTAATTATACGCGACACTACACAATAGTCTTAGCCTCCATTTGGAAAGTTTCTAAATCAATTTATAAATAGGAATAATAGTGGCCTCATGAGTCATGAAATGAATAAAAAATTATAAGTAGTTGCATGTTATTTTTATAAGAATGTATTTTTGAGTAGTGTATTGATGAGAAATGTGTGGTAATTTTTTTTTTAAATTGAATTTACGTGTAATATTATTTAATTAAAGAGTATGTTGTTGAAATGATATTAAATTACATTTAAAAATGTAATTTTTCTGAAAGAATGTGAGTCGAAGAGGCCTAGTATTCATGCAAAGGACGCTTCATTCATGCATTTTCTTTGTTCAACAGCTGCAACAGTGTTATGTTAGGGTTCGCTTTTATTGTTTTTTTTTTTTACCAAAACTGTAAGAATCAAAGTCAAAAAGTCCGGCAATAAAAATCTCTGTGTTGTCCTCATCTTCCTCCCTGCACCAGCATTTAAGCATGTCTGGCTCTGCCAACAGCAGTTATCTATAACAGAGTTTATTAGCAGAATCGACCCTTGTGTTTTTCTATAAAGGGGAGGGTTGGCCTTAATTTTTCTTATTCCAAGTGATCATTTCCTTCCATATATGAAGAGTTTAAATTTCTGAGGGGCTTTTGGGAGATAATATGGAGATAGAGATGAGTCATCCTGGTCCGAGTAGTAATGGTGGTGGAGACGTGGAGAAGGGCGGTGGCGGAGTGGTGGCTGGTGCAGCATATTTGGCATGGGAGGATTTAACGGTGGTGCTGCCAAATTTTGGGAATGGACCAACTAAAAGGTTGCTTAATGAGATAACTGGTTATGCTCTTCCTGGAAGAATCATGGCTGTTATGGGTGCTTCTGGCTCTGGCAAGTCCACATTTCTTGACTCCTTAGCAGGTACTCCCCTCCGCCACCCGCCCCACACCCTCTGCATTTGTATATGTATGTCTCAGTGTATGTGTTGGGGTGGCGTGTTTTGCCTGGCCATTTGGTCTCTTCTTTCTCATTCATTATATCCACAAAAACTTCAAATGAAAATTCTCAATCAACATGCAGTATTTCTTACATATAGACAGTGTGCACCATTTGCTAGTTTAGTTGTTTGGTAAAGTGTATTTTTATGTTACTAGATAGTATATAAAGATATTTTTTTCAAAATAAAAAATAAATTTGTTCATTGTTGAGTCTTGTTCAATATTGTAAATCAATAATGCTTCAATGTCTAGATAAAGTCCCTGTTTTTTATGGGGGTTAATATCAAATTTTTAGTAGACTTTGATGTAAATTGATGAAACGAGTGGTTAAAAAGTTATAGGACCATAAAATATGTGGATAACATAAAATGTTGACTTTAACTTAGATTAATAACTTAATTTTTGCATTCGATAAACCCTGAATAATGTGTTGCCACCGAGTTTACTTTACCTCCGGCCCCCCTATGTTAGGCTGTTGTGCTAGAGCCGTTATCTTGCTCTGTGGACCGTCTGGTCCTCGGTGCTTCTATCGGCATAACAACTGGTGGACCACAGGTTGACCCAACCTAGACCTCTCGTACTAGGTTGGCTCCTGGTGCAAGTAGTGCAACATAGTATTATTCTAATGTAGAAGTGATTGCATGAATTTGCAGGTAGACTCTCAGGAAATGTTATCATGACTGGCAATGTTCTTCTAAATGGAAGGAAAAAGAGACTCAACTATGGTGGTGTTGTAAGTGCTTATTTTCATATATTTCAATTAACTCTTTTACCATTTTCACAAATTTGATTGACTCAGTACAAATTAATCGACCCTATTGTAAGAAAAAGAAGTTTAAGGATGTTTTAGGCAATTCACTATGCTTAGAGAAACTTAAATCTTGGTAGGTGAAATTTCATGGCGTAGAATTTAATTCCAAGATCAACGATCACGCTCTGTACAAAATATATTATTATTGCACAAACTTGGAATTGTGCAACAGTTCCATACCTACCAACATAAAAGGAAAGCTGCAAATGGTTGAATTCACACCTAGAAAAGAAAATGAAAAGGGCTGCTAAAAGAGACACATGGAACTACTTCCTAATATTGAATTTTTGACATGATTGATACATTAGATTTAATGTGATGGTCTATAAATTTTGTTACATACTCGATGTTTTGGGCATGGATTCAAATCCATTTAACTTAAATGGCAAGGGTGCTTATCCAAAATCGAGGCCCCGATTGAGTTTAAAAATATGTTAAAATCGTTCTAACATTTTCATTTTATTTGTAAACAACAATCAGGCTTATGTAACTCAAGAAGATTTATTCTTGGGGACACTCACAGTTAGAGAGACCATCACATTATGTTAAAATCGTTCTAACATTTTCATTTTATTCTTTTCTTTTCTTTTATTTGTAAACAACAATCAGGCTTATGTAACTCAAGAAGATTTATTCTTGGGGACACTCACAGTTAGAGAGACCATCACATACTCAGCACAATTGAGGCTTCCAAGCAACATAACCAAAGATGAAGCAAATGAAATTATCGAAAACACAATAACTGAAATGGGACTTCAAGAATGTGCTGATCAGATGATAGGAAACTGGCATGTTCGAGGCATAAGTGGTGGGGAGAAGAAGAGGCTGAGCATAGCGGTCGAGATACTCACACAACCCAGGATTCTGTTCCTGGACGAACCCACAAGTGGCCTTGACAGCGCCTCGTCCTTTTTTATCGTTCAAGCTCTCAAGCACGTTGCATGTATTGGTCGAACAATTGTGGCTTCCATTCACCAACCGAGTAGTGAAGTCTTTGCTCTATTTGATGATCTTTTACTGCTATCCAGTGGAGAAACAATTTACTTTGGAGAAGCAAAAATGGCAATAGAGGTTCGAACTTTAACACACACTATGCATAAAGTTTAACTTTCATTGATAAAACTGTAATTTACTGATATAATCACATTTTAATTTTTTATTTTTTTAATAGTTCTTTGCAGATTCAGGATATCCTTGTCCAAGCAGAAGAAATCCGTCGGATCATTTTCTTCGTTGCATAAATTCAGATTTCGATAATGTAAACAGCACTTCGATGGGATCTCAAAAAATTAGTATGAGGAATTATTAGATCTGATTTTATTACATTACGAAGTATATATAGTAATATTTGTATTCTATTGTTTCTTTCCGCAGGGTTTTAAGAATTTTTCTGGTCCTTCCATTAATTTAACAACAGAAGAAATTCGAGCAAGGCTTCTTCAGAAATACAAATGCTCAAACTATGCAGCTCGAGCACGAGCTAGAATTCAAGAAATCTCGACTTATACTGTGAGCTTCTTAGCTATATCCTTTGTTGCATAGTATTGTTCATTTTCATTATCCTAAATTATACTCGTCTTTCCACTAAAAACGAGGAGCATGATCAAACACACGTTCAGTATTTTTGGCATGTTGACTGGACAAGATTAAAACGCAAGAAGATAAAAATCTTGTTTATCATCAAGTGTACTACTACGTACCAAACATTCGAGCGTTAAAGATTACTTGGTCCAATCTTATTTAATACTGTGCATCAGACGTACTTCTTTCATAAAACAAGGGTTCATTTTTTTTTCTTGAAAATGTATCGATAAGGATGTAATCTGCAGGAAGGATTTGAAATTGAAAAGACTAGAGGGAGCCAAGCAACAACGTGGAAGCAACTTTCAACATTGACAATGAGATCTTCCACAAACATGTCTAGAGATTTTGGATATTACTGGCTAAGAATCATAGTATACATTGTAGTATCAATCTGTGTTGGTTCTGTCTTTCATGATGTTGGAACTGATTATCACGCGATTCTAGCAAGAGGGGCTTGCGGTGGATTCATATCGGGTTTTATGACATTTATGTCCATCGGAGGGTTCCCATCATTCATCGAAGAAATGAAGGTAAATCGGGTCATCTACGAAACTACCTGACTGAGATAAGTTTTGCTGTATAATTTAAGATTCTGATGCGTGATTTGTGTCATGAGCAGATTTTTTCCAAAGAAAGGCTCAATGGGCATTATGGTGTCGGGGTGTACAACCTTTCTAACTTCATATCTTCATTTCCATTCTTGGTCATGATGTCATTTAGTTCAGCATCTATCACTTATTTCATTGCAAAGTTTCATCCTGGCCTATCGCACTTCACATTCGCCACCCTCGACCTTTTAATCTCCATAGCCGTGGTCGAGAGCTCCATGTTGGTTGTGGCTTCAGTTGTTCCTAATTTCTTGATGGGGGTCATAATCGGGGCAGGTTTCATCGTAAGCATTTACACTTCCCTCTCTACTCTCTAGAATTCTTTTTGACTCGAAGTACTCTAATCCTCATTACACACACTAGATACATATACCCTCGATGTTCATCTACGTGATCTGTTAATGCAGGGTATAATGATGGTTACAGCCGGTTTTTTCCGACTCCCCAATGATCTCCCAAAGCCATTTTGGAGATATCCAATTTCATACATCAATTACATGGCTTGGGCTTTACAGGTATGCTTCATGCGTAGTGGTTTACACATTTCTTAGAAGAAAATTGAACTATTAGTCGATGACCTTTCAACTTAGTCGTACAATGAATTCCCAACGCTAAAATCCATACTATGACCTTATAAAAACAATGCCTTACTTCAAGTTTCTGGACATCTGGAAAACAAAAACTAGCTTCATAAAATTGGACATACGAGGGCCATATGAGGATTTAACTAACTCAGATGGTTCCTATTGTTCGGTCTCATTGTGAAACTACGATAAAAGCTTGAGAGTTTAACTTTCTCAATTTGAAGTTAAGGATAAATTATTCTATTTTCTCCTTTGTTAATGGTTTAAAGAACAAACATCCAATGCATCCTTGTATTAGCAAAGTGCAGGTTTCTAAACTTGGTAAAAAACGAGGTACTACATAGAGTAAGACTATGTTTGGTTCATTGTTTCTAGGTGTCCATAAAAACCTCGATCAAAAAACACTTTTAGTCAAAACTAAAATTTATCCATACATTTCGTAATACACTCTATTTATAAACACCTTGCCAGACATGCTCTAAACCTCTTTCATTCTTGTTCCACTGAAAACTATAGGGAGCATACAAAAATGACATGATCGGGATCGAGTTTGAACCAATGGAGGCAGGAGGACCAAAGCTGAAGGGAGAATATGTCCTCACTTCTATGATAGGCATTTCACTAAAACACTCCAAATGGTGGGACTTAGCTGTGGTTACAGCCATTCTTTTAGCGAACAGATTTCTATTCTTCACCATTCTCAAGTTGAAGGAGAAGGCTGTACCGAAACTACGAACAATTTATGCAGAGAGAACTCTACACCATCTAAAGAAGAGGCCTTCTTTCAGAAAAACACCTCCTTTCCATTCAAAGAGGCAGCACGTTGTTCATTCTTTATCTTCTCAAGAGGGTCTTAACTCTCCTTTACATTGAAAGTACACGCACATTTTCGGGTCCTTTTTTTCTGTCTTTACGTAATTTAGATTTTTCCCTTTCGACGTCTTTATTAAGCTTTTGAATTGATATAATGTTTCAATGAGTGTCAACTTGTATGAATTTTCTTAGCAAGTAATACATATATATGTAACATGACTACTTCCTACTTGTATGCACAATTTACTTTGGATCAAGATAAAGCTCCTCAGAATCAAATAGCAAGAAGCCAACTATTATGTAAATTGCTTAAACAATCTTAATGAACTCGTCTCACACTACAAGAATGTGAGAGGAAGAACAGATAATGACTATTTACACAAGACCAATGACCTCTAATTAGTAAGATACCAGTGTAGCAAAGGAGATTGATGCAATACACCAAACTATAAAGCAAAACCTTTTTGGTGTAGCATAGTGGTGCACATTCCTGCCTGTGATATCGACAACTTGGGTTCAATCTCCATTACAAACCCTAAAAACTTGTGTAATTTTTATTATAATCGAAGGGTAACGTCAATTTCACAAATGTATAGTCCCATCAATTTCATACTCCAAACCAAGTTTATCAAACAGGATTCACCAAGCAACCCACACCTACAGCGGTATTTTTTTTTTTTTTTTTTTTTTCAAACGCATTTTGAGAGTGCACCCTTATCTTACAATACACTTTTGCTTATGCTTTCCGTGCCAACATTAAATTTTAACAGCAAATGTACCCTAATAATTCTATGCAACGAGTCCAACGGAAAGAAAACATATAATAGAAGGGAATTTCGTTAATATTTAAGGAACTAGGCATAGTTTTCGACAATCAAAATAACTTGATATCAGTGATGAAAAAAACTCTAATTTAATCTCACACGAGATGAAGACCATAAAACATTTGCACACACAAAGTAAACTAATAGTTGAAGTGAATCTCAAACGATAACTACGTTATTAAACCATAATATATAATCTTCTTATTTGATATCACAGTTCATGATAGAAATCTAGAAATTTCTCAGATAGTTCAAAAAATGACAAGACGCCTACTGAACCTGGAAGTATTGTACTGAATGAGAAAAACACCAAACTGAACGAAGCAGTGTGTAATCCTTTTCCTCTTGCATTGCCTTTGATGTGGCTCCTTTAGCTACTAATTTAATTCTACTTGAAGTCTAGTTAACTTGCTCCAAACGTGATTATATATACCTAACTGGACTAGGCCGGAGAAGGGTAAATATAAAACAAAGAATAATTGACTTTGATATCATTAATGGTAAGGGGAGCGAAAGTATGTATCTATGGAGGTGAGGCTTCGGTTGATCATAGAAGAGACTGCAGCGAGGCGAGATATAATGGATCGAACAGGGCTTGACTACCTCGAATAGACATGCAAGCTAAGACGAGCATCACATAATTGTGGGGGTCCAGGCCAACTGGGCTAGGCCCGCCGACCCACCACAAACTGGGGTCAACCTTGGCTCATGGGTGATCATCTTGGACTTTCGATAATTTTGCACTAGTGTTCTTGACCATCCCTACCTTAGGATTGGCATGTAGGTTCACACAAACATCACATAATTGTAATGGTAAGGCCAACTAGGCTTGGCCAAGCCCGCCACAAAATTCAAGTTGGCTTAGACCTACGCCTGATCATCATAGGCCTTTAACAAACTGATGCAGCACCAAAAGGATCATTAATAGAGATAGAAGAAAGATTCAGAAAGAATGGGGAATTAAGGGAGGGGATAGAAGAAGAATTCAATAGAAGAAGGGGAGGGATGCGCCATAAACCACCAAAATAATTATTCGTTCATCATCAACTGAAAGTTACAATGCAAAATAGGTTTAAATAGTAAAGCAACCCTAATGAACTTGGGCCCGAGCCCATACAAGTCCAAATTTAAATAATAGTCCAAGAAAATAAATAAAGTTTAAATAAAATAAGTAAACGTCGTCCGATATCCTCATCAACTCTCTCGGGGTGGAAGAAAAACTCGACCCCGTCGAGTGGATAAATCAAGATGTTGCAATGAATCTGATGCTAAAGGCTCCAAGTCATGCCATGGGGGACGATCTTTCTGACGAACCAAATATCGAAATTCCACAAATGATGACGATGCCAATTACAAATTACTCGCAAAAACATGAGCTGATCAAGATAACTTAGGCGAGTGAGAATTTTGCTGACTCTTATAAAGCTCCAATAAATTTGGCTCACGCCGCTGAAGTCTCTCTTTGGGAATCCATGTACCGTCAGAATCAAGTCGATCCATCCAACGAACAAGAAAGCACTGAATTTCTCTATTATTGGTCAACACAAGCTGTTCATTCAAAATAACATCAATTTTATTTTTGTGTGCTATGATAGGTGGGATTGAAGCAGACATGACAAAAGATTCAATGTGGGAATTCTCATGTGGGAGCTTGCAATATAACATAATCCCCAATATTAAATTCAAAGTATTGTTTATGCCAATCAACTTGAAGTTTATATAATGCTTTTCTTGTTTCAAATTGTTTATTGATCTCAATATGCAAGCTATGAAAATGTGATACAACTACCTCAACTGACATAGACACACAAGCATGTGAGTGCATGAGAATAAGGTCTAGAGGTTTCAAAGGTTCACAACCAAGAATAATTTCAAAGGGTTTTAGACCTAAAGACCAGTTCACAGGATCGTTATATGCAATTTGAACAATTGGAGGGATCAAGTCCCAATTCTCAAGATTTTTCTGGACTAGAGACTGTAATAAATTGTCAGGATTTTGGTTAGTACTTTTGTTTTGACCATCAATTTGAAGTTGGTCAGTGGTGGATAATTTTGCCTTAGTGTTAACCACAGGCGACTGGATTTTCCAAGGGTGACTGGTGACATCATCAAGCTCTTTAACTTGAGTAAGGGTATGACATATAACATGTGATCGAGAATTGTCGGAGATAAGGGATCTAGTATCCAAAGTCTCGAGAAGAGTCTGGATTCCACCTAAGGAAGTGTCCTCACTATCATCCAAGTCATCAAAATCTTCAAATTTAGGTTCATAGACTAGATCTTCTAACGGCTCCTCTATTACATTATTTCGTTCTTTCATGACTAAGGTTCGATTAGGACATTTAGAAGAAATGTGATCAAAGTCTTTACAGTTGACGCACAACAAGTAAGAAGAAGACTTTGGAATTTTAGAAATTCTACCCTGATTTTTCAAGATTGGAGGAACATCAGACGGGAGAGGCCCTAGAAGGGACTTAATGGGAGGAATTGGAGCCAATGACACCGAAAGATGATTGTCAATATGCTTTCTACATGAAAAAGAAGATCTTGGACTCTCACAACCTTTACAATTATTTCTCCAAATAGGAGGAACATTAGACGGAGACGGTTTTATGATAGACTTATGATGAGGCGACGCTAATGAGATAGGTGAGCGACGATAACCACGCTTTTCATATGGAGTACTAATAATCAACTCATAATCTCGAGCTAAAGAGTAAGCGCGATCAAGAGTAGTGACACCTCGAAGGAATAACTCGCGCTTAAGATCATTTCTCAGACCTTGGCTAAACCTACTGAAAGTCGTGTTCTCATCCTCAATTAAATGACATTTGGTTCGAAATTCCTCAAATTGCGCGATATACTCAGTTACTAATTGATTTCCTTGTTTAAGGGCATTCCATTGAGTAAGAATTTCAAAATTATTTCATTCTCGCTCACGAATCTGATCTCTATTCCTATCCCTATCCTTACGATCGGGTCGAAAGTATTTTTGATTACCCTGTCGACGATGTTGTCTATTCTGGGACTCCTTAGAATTATCAACATCAATCGAATGAGGGATGTGTTTAAAATTTTTCAAACTAACAGATAGGGCCTTACTCTTCAAGAGTAGCGGTCATTTGAGTTTGAATAGCCGCTATTTGTCGAGTGAGTGCATTGAATTGTGAGGGATTCATGTTTAAGGTACTAGAGCTAGAAATGACAAGATGACCAATATGTAACTACCTGCACTGTAATAGCAACTTAATGACATGCAATAGAGAGATCAACAAACAAAAAGTGCAAGTACTGGAAAATGAAAATTTGAGCTATTTTTTATTGTTATTATTATTTTTTTTAAATTTAAATTTTGGGACTAAAATTATATACAACAAGCTAGTACTGCTGGTATATGTAAAATAACAAAGCAATGGTCAAATACTAGTCAAAACCTAATCACGTAAAATATGCAGGTTCAAGTGAGATTTAAAGAGGTCAAAGGATCCAATTACGTGAGTTTAGATAAAAATAGATCAGCACCAGCACAAAAATTTAATTGATGCAATTTCAGAATGAAACAGTAATATAAACCAACAATAAATAAAAGCAAGAACTTCCCTTTCGTTCGTCGAAGTAGTCAAGCTAGATCAACCAGAATAAAAGATGTACATGTAAATAATATAAAAGAAGTTTCTTCTCTTTTTTTTTTTTCTTTTCTTTCTTCTTTTTTTTCACTTTTTTTTTTTGGAACTGCAGAAAACGATAAATAAATAAAAAAGAAATTTCGGGTGTGAACAGTACCCGTGAACAGTAACGATTTTTTTTTTTTTTTTTGAAACTGCTGAAAAATCTATAAAAAAAAAAAATTGAAATTCCGGGTGTGAACAGTACGATTTTTTTTTTTTTTTTGCCTAATCAACTAGAAAGAAAATTGAACAAGAAAACTGCTGCCTCATAACAATTTTTTTTTGTTTGTGCTGTTTCACAAGTTTTTGGGAAGAGGATAGGAAGAAAGTTTTGGATTGTGGATGAAAAATTACCCATGTTTTGGCTCTGATACCAAATTTGATGCAGCACCAATGGGACAATTCATTGAAAAATAGAACAGATCTATAGGGAGAAGGAATTAAAGAGAAGAATGAGGAATTAAAGGGGGGAAGAAGAAGAATTTAATAGAAGAGGGCAGAATAAGGGGAGGGATGCGCCATAAGCCACCAAAATAATTATTCGTTCATCATCAACTGAAAGTTGCAATGCAAAATAGGTTTAAATAGTAAGCAACCCTAATGAGCTTGGGCCCGAGCCCATACAAGTCCAAATTTAAATAATAATCCAAGAAAATAAATAAAGCTTAAATAAAATAAGTAAACGTCGTCCAATGTCCTCATCACAAACCAAACCGTGTGACACCACTAT